CATCTTTTTCTTTTTTATCCAGGACAGGCGTCTGTTTCCTCATGTTGTTGCCTGTGTATGCAACACATTTCTTAAAGAAAGAAAGAAAGGTCTGTTAGTCAAGTCTACTGTGCACCATCAAACTGACTACAGCTTTACTGCTTTATTTCTGGGCTTGGTTAAACTCCTCAGCAGCTCGTGCTTGGCTTGTCCCCGAGCCAGTGGGCTAGCTTACCAGTTGCCATTCTCCAATGTCTTCGTTCCAGTGAACGTAGTTTTCAATCATTTCCTAGAAAGAAGTTAGAACAGCAAGTGTTATAGATTTGCTCAATATACACTCCAGATGCATCTTCCAGAACATCCCTAAAGGCCTGGACAAGCTGCTTAAGAACAGCTTGACCATTCCGAGTTGTTTTTATCAGGACAGCCATACCATGGCTCAAAAACCTCTACTTCCACTCTGAAGACTACAGAAGAGAAAAATACCACTTCCAAATTGCAGGCATTGGAGTACCCACTAAAGCATGGGTTTCCCATTATGCCACTGACATCTGGATACCAATAAACACACATTGTAATATGGAAAAGGTGAAAGATTAAAGGAAATGGCTTCTATTTTCTTTTAAATAGCATGCGTCGTATTTAAGCTTATCATGAATTCTCTGAACATTGGGGTCACAAAGAAAACGAGAAGGGAAGAATTCCAAGTTCACCCTTACTTCTTTGCATTCCCATCAGACGTTAGCAAGCACAACTTCAAAACCTCTTTTTTTTTCTTCACTGTGCTTGAACAGCCCCAGAGGGCGGGCAAACGTTATTCACATCATTGTGCTGGTTTTGAAGCCAAACACACCCACTAACTCTGATCATCTTCCAGTTGAACTTCAAGCAGAAGTCCACCAGGTTGTCAAAAGCATCTTCTCCTACTTTAACATCGCCTGGTTCTGACAATCCAGATAATGGCACAAACACATGAATGCAACCAAGCTGCACCTGCTTGGCTGAGCCACAGCAAACGAAGACTCCCAGTAACACACACCAACCCATTTGTGCTACAACTTAACAGACAAGCACCAGTCAAGTTCACTGTGAATACCTCACCAAGAGAAAAAAGCCAACTCATTCCATTTGTGGGGCAGAATAAAAGCTAGAGGGCTCAGTGTGCATAGCACAATCCTAGGTCACAGGCTTAGGCTCTTTGTCTTTACCTGGTAGTCCTGAGGAATGAAGTTGTCTATGATAAGCATCTGAAGACGAAGCTCCCTGCTCAGCTGTCGAATATTCTCTAGTAATCCCTCAATCTCTCTCTGATGCTCTTGTTGCAAATCTGCCATCTGAAAACAAACCAGGCATCTGAGAGGCACCAGAGCTAGCTTAAAACATGGTAACAGCCTAAAAGAGAACAGTCTTCTGCCTATAGGAGGTTTTTGGGAAATAAAAGCAAACTCTGGTTGTAAGTATCAGAATGTTTATCTCTGAAGAATAAACCCTCTGAAACCTTCCAGCTCTGAGATGGCTGAAAAGAGCATTAAGTTCTCAGTTTCATAAAAACGAAACTGGCCGCCTGCCAATCCCAGCTCTGCATCAGCTAAGAGCAGATGAGGAGCGCACAGACAAGTTATATCCCTGGCAAGGTTTCAGGGAAAAGCTCTGATCCCAAAGAAATCCACTTTTCATGAAACAGGAACTCTAGTCAGCAGCCAAAGGACACATTGATCCAGTGACTGAGGAAGAGAGACCAAGGGCAACAAGCAGAGGACAGCCAGCCAAGGGCAGAGGAGCACTTGGGCTGCTGCAAAGCAGGAGACTGGGTGGCCAGCAAACAACTTCTATTTTGTTTCAGAAATAACCAATGTTTTTCCTTGAAGTTCTGAATATCTCAGGCTCTCACACACACCCCCTCAGCCTGGTTTGGGGGAAAGCTCTACAACATGCCCCTGTGCAGCTCTGACACTGGACTTAATTAGATCTTTTTGAGTTACATGAGCCAAATGCACAGCACAGAGATGTTTCTAAACATACAGCACTTTTTCCAGTGCCACAAAGCTGATGGCTTACCCTTCCCAGCTACAGTCCCTCACATCCTCACAGGCTGAGGACTTCAGATACTAACCTCGGATTTTGCAGCCATAAGCATGGTCCAAACTTTCTTCAGCTTTTTGGTTTTCCCCTGTGCTTCTTCCTGAAGGCTGGTGTACTTCTCCTCGATGTCCAAGCGTTCTTGCTGTGTGCAAGATTTAGCACAGACATCCACACGTTAACATAATCAAAAAACTGTCGGCGCTAGCATGAACAAGAGGAGAAACCACTGGAACAAAACAAAGCACTTGCCAAGGGCACAGAGACCTGGTTTAGCCAGGCTGGCTCAGACCCACAGTGCTGGCACTGTCAACACGTGGCCTCCAAAGTGGTTAGCTTCTGCTGTGCTTTCAGAGCAGAGCCACGTTTCACCCACGTGAGCAGTGCCAAGGCACACAGTGTGTGTACTGCCATGGCTGTTTTCTGACAGCTACAGCAAATAACCCCACCTCCTTCTCCTCAAGCTCCTTGCGAAGCTGTTCTGCTCTCTTCCTGCGTTCTTCCAGTTCCATATTTGATTCTTCTAGAAGCTTCTCTTGCTCCTCTGCTTTTGCCAGCAAGTCCACTCCTCCCACAATCACCTTCTTCTCCAATGCAGACAGTTTCTCTAAGAGGGACTGGTGCTCTTGCCTAGAGAGACAGGTAAGTGAGAAACTTTCTATCCTATAGTGCTCACAAGGCTGCAGGTCCAGCTCAGTTTCACAGCCCAGACAGCATTCACAGGGCTGGAAAAACTTGTCTTGCTGCCAAAGGTTTAAGCAGGGGTGAGGCAGTGCAAGCAAATGCAGGGAGTTCCCTGAGCTCCAGCTCCCATCACTTTCTCACAAACAAAACCAGGTCAGCAGAGAACTCTCTCCTCCTGCAAGTCCCCTCTGCGAGGGGCTGCAAGACACCAGAAATATTACCAGGCTACCCAAGGCACTCCCCCACAAAGGCCCTGCCAGCACAGCGATGCCCAGAGGCAGAAAGGGAAGCGAATGAACAGAGATCAGGGCAGCTGAGACGCAAACCCAGAATGCTGGCTGGTGTTGGGGCAGCCTCTGACAGCAGGACTGTCCTATCTGCATGGGCCAGTGCAACCTCAGCAGCTTTTCAGCTCCAGAGTGGAGAAGCCCTACACCCAAAGTGACACGCGCGTGACAGCGTGCTGCAGGAACCTGGCTTGCTACACAGCTACTGCCCGTCCACCAAGCAGAGCAGGACTACTGCTGCTCTTCGCATATATCCAGGGTTTGGAGGATTCATTTATGTTTCTAGGCTACCTTGCACAACTAGATAAGAGAAGAAAGAAGTGGCAAAAGGATAAAATTTGTCTTTTCCATCTGCTTTAAACTTTGAAAGCAGAGTAAGCTCCTCTTCCACTTTAATAGCAAGAGCTGATGTTTAGTTTACACAAAGTTTGACAGGCACGTTGCCATGCATCTTCAGATATCCATAACTGAGTTGTAGATTAAGGAAGAAAAAACCCACGCGACCACACAAACCGATCACAGCAGGGTACTCACTGAGCTTTAAGCAAGTCTTTTTCTCTCTTCTCCAGTTCAGCTCTGGCTTTATTTCTTTCTTCTTCTTCCATATCAAGTTTAGTTTCAAGGGCTTTTCTCTCCTCTTCAATCTTGGCTTGCATCTCTACCATCTTATCAGGGGAAACTTTCTTCTTGCCTTCGGAAGAGATAGGGAAAACAAATTAGTTTACAGAAAAACAAGACAGCCTCTGTATCACAGCAGTTTTTCCAAGTTCAGGTTCAATACTTGCATTTAACAAAAATTAATCTAATTAGATGTCAGCTCCGAGCTGGGCACAACTGAGTCTTTCAAATCCCATGTTAACATTGACCAGCTGTCACCAGTTCCTACAGAGAAAGAACACTATATAACTAACACTATAACATAATGCTCCCAAAACAGAAAAAATACACAAAGAACACCTGGAGAAGGAACACTAAAGAGAAGTCTGAGCTGCAAACTCAGATGTTCTAACTCTGTAGATTAGTCTCCTGTTTTCCTTCATTTGGCTGCCTTGACCTACAGCTACAAGAGCTAGACTACCAGGAGTTACATACTCAAATTTCAGATTAGCATCCCCACCACACCCCATGTTCATTGTCCTCCTTATGGGCAACTGCAAAGTCAGCACACAGATATTTTAAGAACACACTACTGTAAAAATGCAGAGACTAGGGAAACTCAGCACAGCCCTACCAAAAAACAGGCAATTGAAGAAACTTTTGATGGGATTCAACCTATGTAACAGTGACTACTCACAGATTTGGAAGTACTGAGGTTTGCAGTGACTTATCTTATCAAATTGTGTCTTTACAGCATAACTACTACTACAACAAACCAGGTGCATTTCATAAAGGGTTACAGAGGAGGTGGCCAGAGCAACACATGGAACCTATTGGCCTGAAGGGCTGGTCCCAGGCACCTGTGATTTTGAACCAAAGCGTGAGGCTGCTGCTCTTGGAATTCACTCTTCCAGTCCTGAGCCAACTTGCACTGCAATACCACAAGTGCCTAATGCAGATCCGAGATATCCTTGGGGGTTATTTGGAGCAAGAGAGCCCAACCTACGTGCATCTCCTCAAATCCACAGGTCTCTCACAAGTCCTAAATCTCCCTTTATTCGCTACAAGAGAATCCTTCATTTTTTTGTTTTGCGCTTCTCTAGACATGAAAAGAAAAAAACAAACCTGTAGAAACTAACAGAAGTCATCGACTGTTTTCATAGTGACATAATGCATATGGTCAGAACATGCTCAAGAAAGTTGTTGTAAAAGCCTTCCCTTCCCTCCAGTCTTCACAGCATTCAGCTTTATTTATATACATATACCACCTCCAGCAGACAGACAAAATGCACTGTATTTGTAAACATGCATGCACACATGAACATATCTGTATGCATGTGTGTTCATGCACACAAGAGAACATAATTAGGTTTGTGCCAAGGTAAGGATTTCAGCACTACAGCAAACAGTGTCTTGATTTCCATCTGCTAAACTTCAGAATCAGATAATAAGCACTTATTTCTGGACCTGTGGTGAAAAATATCTCTGATTAGTCTGAGTAAGAAGCCTTCTGAAAGTGCTATACAGAGAGATAAGCCAGATAAAGGCTTCTTACTGTTAGTACACAGCCTCATGTATTCTCAGTTTAGGACAAAAAGGTGAACTAAACCAACTTGTAAGGTGCTTTCACAAGCTCTGCAATTGTATTATAAGGAGGCAGAAATAAATTACACCAACCTGCTTGGTCTTGCAGTAAGAGGAAGTAGAAAGCAAATCAGAGGGGCAGCATATGCACAAAAAGAGGAGAAAAGAAAATATATTACTGCTTTGATCATTTTGGACAAAGACCATCAGCATCAGAAGAAGCATTAACTTTTATATGCACGTTGCTAGAGTAGAAAACACAGGATAAACATCACTAAAAAACTCCATCAGAGCACACATTAATGCATCATAATGTTATGCTAAAGCAGATAAAGTGTCTGTATTTGAGTGCTTTGCATATCCAGGATAATTTTCAGCTCACTCTTGCATTCTTCTGCCCATTCAACGCAATGCAGAATCTGAACGTAACGTTATGAGCCTGCCGCAAAGATCATGCCCTAAGAAACAACTCAAGAGGGTGGATTTCTTCTTCAGCAAGAGACTCAGTGCCTCCCCAGCCCCGCTCCAGACAGCCAATTCTGTTGTTACCTGTAAAACATTGGCATACAGAAGACTCCTCCTAAGTTTTAGCCAGGTTTCCGAGCCAATTCTTTGCAAGATACATGACGGTTGCACACAGGGAGTCTCAGCACAATATTTCTCCATTTAATTACACAGGGTATTAGTAGGTTAATTTGCAGTAACTGATGCTTCCATAGAGGTATAGAGCCAGTTTTGGTTATTCAAGCAAGAGCAGCAGAAAAGGCAGGACAGGAAAGGGACGATGAAAGACATCACATGCAGAAGGGCCACGCTTGAGGACAGTTAATATCCCAAACCGCAGAGCCACACTTATCCTAATCACCAAAAGCCCAGTGCAACTTCCACAACAGAGCTGTCTCCAGACTTGCAGGAGATGGACACCCCCTGCTGTATCAGCAGTTTGCTATTAACTGTCCTCCTCCAAATAAAACATTCAGGTTTCAAGCAAGCTTTGAGAGCAAGTTTGAAGCAAGCAGGTTCCAAGCCTACCATCGTATGACCCACCAAAGGTCTCTCTTGGCTTGTGACCCTTCTTAACCTGCTACCATGCTTTCTCTGAGCTGATGCTTTCCACTAACTGGTATAAATTTGATTGAAGTGTAACTATATAGCAATACCTCCCAGAGAGGAGAGTAAACTGGGTCTATGCAGGATAATCACAACAGTGGGTGAAGTCCTACAAGCCAAGTTCTGAGAATGTGATTTATTTCTTCAGTCATTACCAACTGACTGTAGGGTTTTTCAAGGTACATAGCCCTTTCTCTGACCAGGAGCAGACCAGACTTTCCTCACTGCTAGACCAAAATCTAGACCACTTGTTCCCCTGAACTAAGTCCCACAGTGATCAAGAGCTTAGTGTCATGGGGTAGTCAAACCCCAACCATCACCAAGCATTTTTTTAAATTTATCTGCCAAAATAAAGCAAATCAACCAAGCATTACCAGGTTTTCTTTGCAAGCATAAGCTCGTGTTGCTTGATTGTTGACCGCTCCATTCATTCTCCAAAACTATTTTTGTGAAGGCAGAGTCCGGTATAACACAGCGCAACCCATTTCACCTGTCTAGCTTTTTATGAACTCATACTGTAACAATTCTCATCAAAAAAGTTAGCTCAGACTTTTTCCTGTTATTTTAGAGGGCGTGTGTAACACAGAAGTTGCAAACTGTTTTTTTTTAACCTATTATTTCTCAGTTGTCTTTCAGCCTTGTTCAAGCAGCACCCTAAATTGCTTCCTGTTCTCACACAGCTGGCTAACAAAGTGGACACTGAACAACTGTTTCAAGCATGGAAGCAGCAAAGGAAAGGCATGCTTTAGCAGAGTTAAAAGTTCAGGTTTATCTTTCCAAGAGGCATAGCAGGGAAGAGTGCAGCGTTGCAAAATGGGGTGCACAGATTATGGAAAGGCCAAAGCTTAAAGGACTTAAGAGCTCCCACTCACTAGTGAAGGACTTATCCAGAGGTTTCTCTATGACAGAGCATGTGGAGTCTGAACTACTGCTGCTGCTACTGCCTGGAAAACAGAAATGCGTCCCACAGAAAAACCCAGAGAGGAAGAAACATGCAGATGGGAAGTTAGTTCTAAAGGAAAGAAACCCAGAAGGGTCAGCAACCTAGTTCAAAAAGGCACAAGTTCCCATCAGGAAGCATTTGCTAGGATCCCTCCCAGACTCAGCTCGCAAAGCCACCGATCCCCAGCACAAAATAGCATGCTCAGAAAGACACTCCAGTTAAAACCCATCTTCACCAGCCTACAGCTTAAAACAACATGCCAAGGCAGCTTCTGTTTCAAGCAACAACGGCACAGAAAACCAAATCACAGTGGAGAAGGCTGTGGATATCTGCAGTAGCAGAGGATTCAGTGACCAGGAGTCCTTTCCAGTCTTACGTACATGGCAACGTGCTCTTTTCCCTCTAGAAGCCAGACTCAGCTTACACAGAGACAGTTACTGTGTGTACTCCTGCTGAGCAGCACCCTGACTTAAGGAACTTAGAGTAGCTTGTTTGGCAGTTGAGTAAGTCAGTTATTTGCCCTCTACTCCTTTCAAACAGGATTTTGAAGGTGGTCTCCTCTTGGGAGGAGATTTGAGCATGACTCGGTTCTTGATGGAGACAGTGGTCAATCAATCTGCTTCTAGAAATTACTAGAAGGTGAAAAACAAAGTAAAAGTTGTTACAGCTATCACCAGGTATGACAAAGGTAATGACAAAGGTAATTTACGACTCTACTTGGATAGATACCAAAATAGAGAGTGTGCATGTAA